TTCTTACGGCCCATTCACACCATAGCATTGTGTTAATCACAGTTACTTATTTCATCCTTTGTTCTATAAGAATACACTTTGTACTTGTCATGGCAGGGCCTCATTCACATAGGAAATCACAAACCTGCTTTAATATGCATTTTAAAGACTGTTTAAAGGGCCCTATTCACACCATAGCAATGTGTTAATCACAGTTATTCATTGTATCCTTCTTTCTGTAACAACACACTTTGGACTTGTCATGGCAGAGCCTCATTCACAACGGCATTCACAAACCTGCGTTTATATGCATTTAGAAGTTGTTTCTAAGGGCACATTCATACCATAGTGTTGCGTTATTCATAATTACTCATCCCATCCTTCTTCTTGTAGCAATTAGGGTTGCCACCTTTTGTTCAAGCGAAACCCGAACACTCTAGCTGCGCGCAAATATCACAGCTGAGCCTATTTTCAGTGCGGGGCCAGTAGCCCCTATCTGAATTTTGGTTGCCCCTGACATCTTGTGTCCGGGTTTCTGCTGCCATGAAACCCGGACACAGCATTCAAAACCCGGACTGTCCGGGTGAATCCTGGACAGGTGGCAACCCTAGTAGCAATGCATGTTGTAGTTGTCATACTAGGGCCTCATTCAATAGGCATTGGCAAACATTTGTTTCTATGCATTTAGAAGACATTTCTAAGGGTCCATTCACATCATAGCGTTGCATTAACCGTATGATACTGGGCAATTAACATATACTAACGCACAGTGCACCTAGCATACATTACCGAGCGCTAAGTGTGTTGCGTCGCCATTCATTTGAATGGCAGCTAACACCTCCCAGCTGCCTTGCGATGCAAGGCAGAGCAATGCACAACACCCTGTTGCATTGCACCCAACACACCTCCCAGGTACCTCGCGATGCAAGGCAGAGCAATGCACAACACCCTGTTGCATTGCACCCAACACACCTCCCAGGTACCTCGCGATGCAAGGCAGAGCAATGCACAACACCATGTTGCATTGCACCCAACACACCTCCCAGGTACCTCGCGATGCAAGGCAGAGCAATGCACAACACCATGTTGAATTGCATTGAAGAAAAGTAGTTGGGCGTGTCTCAGCTAAAGAAGTCAGGCGTCTCCTGTATACATAAAAGGTCAACGCTAGTTCACCTCTCTTATCTACCCCTCACCATCTCTTATCCTAGGAAGTAATCACAGAAACTGACTCTCATCCCATCCTTCTTTCTGTAACAATACACTCTGTGCTTGTCATGCTAGGGCCTCATTCACATAGGCATTGACAAAGCTGCGTTTATATGCATTACCTTTTTCACCTTAGTGCACAATATTGCAATACCATGCATTGCGCTGTGTTGCAGCACTCGGCAGCCAGGAAGTGTGTTGGGATGCCATTCAAATGATTCACAACACACCTAGTACAAAAATAGTGCATGCAGAAATCTCTGCATGCACTATTTTTTCAGATCACACTGCACTGGAACGAAGGGCATTCCTGTGCTTCGCTTTCCCACGCGGGTGATCACACTGCGGGCTGGGGGCGTGTCTGCAGTGCCATTGACATGAATGGCACCGATACACCCCCTCCTGCCCCACAACGCTGTCCGGTTTGATCTATGCGATCCAGTGCATTCCGGGCTCGAACCGCACCGGAATGCACTGGATATGGTGTGACTGGGCCCTCAGGCAAATACAGTTGCCCCCTCAAATGATATATGCGCAGGAGACTGACACAGAGT